CCCATTTTGTTTATCAATATTTCACATAAAAGTATGATGAGCTTGTAAATGTGACCTTGTGTGAAGGGGTGAGTGACAGGCAAATACTTTACAGTTCAGAGATTAGACATAAAAACGACCTGACCGCTTTTATCGGTCTCCGTGTATTTAAATGTCTCAAAGATCAATGCAAAGTGCTGACCTCAACGGGGCATGTGTCTGTCACCATTACCCATAACTTCGTTTCCCAAACATGCAGTCAGCCACAAATATAATTTTAGCTGCAAGATGTGCCCTTTTTTTAAAATTAAAAATAAATTGTGTAAAGGCTTGTCTTGTTCACCTATTCTTTCTATTGCCATTCTAATGAGGTTACAGTCTACTGGTTCCCAATCCGCACTGGAATTTCACCCTGAAACGCCAGCAGCAGTATAATGGCTCGTCCCTGCTCCCAGTATGGCCCCTCCAGGCTCCAGCAGCAGCAGCCGTGCCGGGGCCAGACAGCCTGCCAGCCCCGGATCCCCTTATCAACCTCGGGGCTTTGGCCTGACCTTATACCGCAGAGTCCCATTAATCAGGGAAACATCACCTAAAATATGGCAGATTGAGCAAAGAGCAAGTCTGGTCAAAGCTTCTCAGAAACGTTACATGGTCCTGCACAGAACAAAAATATTGTGCCTATATATACTTGCCAAAGGGAAGGATGTTTTTCTCGACACGTTGGCCATCTCTGCACAAACACACACTTGCAAGTAAATGCAACTTACAGTATTGTTGTTTTATGAGTTCAGGCCGGTTTATTGAGGTTTCTCTCCTAATGTATTAGAGCGAGCAGCCTTGCACCACCTCATGCGCAGTGGTTGGAAATGCTGCATGCGTAAATGTCTGCGGTTTGCCTCCTGTTATTATTGCAGGCTCCACAGGCCTACCACTACTTCCGCCACATACACACACACACACACACACACACACACACACACACACACACACACACCGGGGAAGGGATTCCCTCACTTTAAGAGTGCAGCCAAACTGAATAAACTCCCTGTAGCCATGTTTGAGGTGCAGCTATTTACCATAGTCATCATAGGTTCTATTGTTAGTTGAAACCAGCCACAATGTGGATAAGCATTAAATCTATTTGGGGTCTATTTCCTTTCAAATCTGAAATGATTTAGCCTCAGGACGAAATCTTTATCTGTTATTTAATTGAAGGGTAGAGGTAGATACGTCCAATTTCCCTGAACGCTTTTTAACATTTATGAAATGATTGGTGTTACAGAGTAAATTGAAAGGTTGAGACTTTAAAAGACAAAGAGCAATATCAATGATGAAAAGCAGCTGTGTTCCTAAAATAACAGATAAAGAAAGAGAAAAGTTTAAAAAAAAACCTTCTTTGTTTTCATAACCCCCAATGCAAATCATTAAATCTGTCAAACCCTTCCACAACAAATGATTGTCCAACTCAAAAGAAAGAGAGAGAGTCTGATAATTACACTCAGCCGCATTTAATGAATGCTCCATAATTAAAAAAAAAGAGGAAGGGAAAGTGCTTCAGAAATCCACCGTTCAAGTTTCCATTTCGAGTGCAGTTTTTCTATATATATTCACAACAACAAAAATCAATGTACAAGAAACCCCAGAAAAAAAATCACAAAAATAAATATTCAGTTTCATATAAACAACCAGTGACTTCAAATTCCATGTCAAAAAAACCTGACCTCAAGTATTGTATCAAAAAAAGCGAAGTAAATGAGTGAACGATGAGGGCAGGGAAGTGGGGAAGAGGAGGAGGAAGAGGGGAGTGCACGCTGCTGCTGCAAGATGCAATTGTTTACATTGATAGCGTCACTGTCAGAGAGCTATTTGTCTTAACGGTGGAAAGACCCTCCCAACAGGCCATTACCACCACCTCCGTCCCTCGGCCGCGCATTGTGAGTCCCGCGTGAGAATGGGCTGGTGCGTCAGGGGGGCAACCCCGCACTGCTTTTCTCGGGCGCAGGCCATTCCTCCTCTTCCTCTGCCGTGCAGCCCATGCTTTTGACATGCGGATTAAAGGTTGAAAGCTTCGCTCTCGCAACACAGCAACCCCCCCCCCCCCCCCCTCTCAAACCCCCACCCCCTCGTGCAACCCCCTCCGTTTTACTGCGAGCCTGCTCTGCAGCTTGTGTCGGGGCTGCAAAAACAAGCCGGTTTACAGGCTCATAATATAAGTTCAAGTTTGAATTGTCGCTCCGGCCTCAGAAACGATATAAGGCCCCACGGTGAGCCGGGGCTCCGTGGATGCAGTGGAGAGGTGCTTTAATCACGTGACTAAACATCTACCATATGTATCCACACTGATTTAAGCAGAGTGAAACTCGCTTTTTTATTGTACAATTTTTTTCTCCTTCTCTTTTTTTTTTTTTTTTTTTTTTACAATCACCTATTAAATAGTTTCTACAATCCTCTGAATGAATGCACCCTTTGCTGTGCTTGTGAAGGGGGCTGACATCATTCACGGGCTTTGGGTTTGTTGTGACCTGGCTCGGGCCTCTCTTTGTCGCAGACAGAAAAGCCTGCCAATTAGCAGAGCGCTTCCTGCGCTGCCATTAAAAACGTCTACACGTTCACTTAAAACACCCACAGGTAGGCGCAGCTTCAATCACTTGATTTGCTCGTGTTTAAAAAAGGTGGTGTACGCTGAAGTCTATTGCTGCATTTAGGGAGTAAATGAAACAGCTCTGGGGGTACTACATTCACTGAGCGGCCATATTCAAGAGGCTACATTAAAGATAATGAGATGGTGATGTGCTGGACAAGAAAGCAATATGCGAAAAGACTGTATTTTAGCTGTCCAATAATATGAAACAATTGACAATTGTTTTTTCCCCCCCTGGTCAGATCAAGACAATTGACTTCAACTAAGAAATAGAGCAATGAACAACAGTGGCTTCAGGAAAATAAGGACAATATTAAATGATAGAAAATCAGAAAAACCCCCATCATGGTATGGTTAGAAACTCACATGGGGCGAATCCCAGATATTCAAATAGCAGGCAAATGGATGCAGCTTGGCCTTTGTGTCTAAATCAAAATCAAACAGTCTCATCTTTTGCTGTTTTTTTCTACCAGCATCTCTCAGACATCATTTCACAGGCTAGTCAGAAAAACCCTAAAGCTGAAACAAGACCCCCAGCAGTATCAAAGTGCAATGCATTTAAGCCTCTCTTGTGCTTTGTCGCATTGTTTCTGAGAGTAGCCAGAGTAGCTAGCTATTTCACGCTGTTTTGGTGTTGTTTTTCCCCCCACTGCGACTCCTGAATCACATCCCAGCCACAGCCTATCTTGGACATTGTCATTATGTCTGTGTTTTCTTCCGTTTTCTTCAAATTCATGTTCCTGCTTTAAACGCAAATGGACTGCCCCTGGCACAAATATGGTGTGTAGGAGAAATTGGTGGCCAAGTAGAGGGGGAGGGGGGGGGGGGGGG